GGGTTTGGCAATGTTTTAACATCAAACGCTCAAATGACTATTAGCCCCTGAATCTAATAAGAATCTAGTTTTGCATTTAAATTCATTAAATACGTTTGCAGCATGTAATAATACTGGTTGCGCTTTTTGTTTCACTTGATGGTATTGATTTGTTGAATTTGTTTGTTGATATTATTAATTTCTTTGACCTCTGTAATTATTATTTCTTCCTTTAGACACTGTTTATTGTGTTAAAAACTTCTACATGTAAAACTGCTTTTACTACTTATTAAAACTTTTATTTTCAATTTTGTTACAGTTAATCTATCTGTACAAAATCTGCTTTAACATCTGTGACCGTTTCTACCGTCAAATTTGGATGCAAAAGACAGTAATAAGTGACAAACTTTATCACCTTCATCTATGTTTGATTCCAAAGCTTTTATTTCTCTTGTCAGTATCAAATTTCGAGAAATAGTCTTCCAGCTTTTTATTTGTTTAAAGAGACTTTAGTAATGAAATGCTAAGTTTGGAGAATTTAATTGTTCTTTTGCAGTTTTGCAATCATTCTGTATATCTGAATGTTTGTCCGAACCATTTTGAACGGTAATAGCATCAATATTTTTGAATTTATCTTACACTTCAACTGTAGGTGTCGCAATAGAGCTGATACCCGAGACCCCATAATCAAATTGAAATTTAGTCCGTTATTTTCCTTGTGTACCCGATGTCATTTTAGAACCTTTCGACATTTATTATTATCCAGCCACTTTTGAAAATAAAAGTGGGCCCATAACCTGATGAATAATTTAAGAGATTAAATAAATGTATTTAAATAACGACTGTTTAATAAGTTTTCAGTACAAATTGCATAAATGATTGACAATTAACATAAGACAAAATGAAAGTGACATTCAATTACTATTTCGACATTGATAAATTTAAGGGAAAGTGTTATTTAGATACAAATTATATTGAATATATTTGATTTATATTTTTTCTATTATATGTATCTTATGATACCAAAAACGTTTACCGAATTTAACAAAATTGAATAATAAAAAAGTTATAGGTAATATTGATTTAATCTCCCCATGCTTTTACCAGTTGAACTTTCAAAACAATGATTTCGACATCCAAACTCGTAGATTTGAAATTCCAATCCCATCCCAGCTCCCTCAATTCTTCTTAAAGTCACTTTTGTGACATCGTATAGAAGGACGACAATCTAATTGTACTAGAATACATTTCCAAGATTCTTTGGATCAATTTTTCTAGTTTTAACCGATTTTTCTCTTTTAACTTTCTTTCATTAAATTTATTATTCGTTAAAAATTGAAGGTCATTCCCCTGTTTTAATTGTTGCAGCTGAAACTTCACAAGAAGACATCGATGACGACTCGTCGTCTCGATTCGATAAAGACAGTTCAGAGGTTCATACAATTGAACTCTCGAACGACTCCAATGCGTCAAGCGAAAAAAAAGTGACAGACGAAGAAAGGAAACATCCCAGACTGTTTGTGAAACAGGACTTAGCTAAACCTGAAAATTTGAAACCGGAAATGTTGGTGCGCTTTCGGGAAATCCTGCCGGATATGGACCATAATGGTGAGAATTTTTGTGCATTTGATTTAAATTAGTTTAATTATTCATTTAAAACAAACTGTTTATACAGGGTTGATATTTTTTTTAATGCTGTAAGAAGATAAATTGAAATCTTTTAAAAATGAATTTTTTCGAACGAAATATAGAAAAAAAAATGTTAATTTTGTTTATAACGTCTCCATTTTGAACAATATTTATAAAAAACGATAAATATATTTTTAATTTTATTTCGAAATGTTTTTAATATGGTCATTTATTGTGTACAGAGGGCGTTTGTGTTCTTCTCATTTACTTAATCTACTTTTAAATATGGATAATATTTAAAGTTTATTTTAAAGTTTCGCTGACCCTAATGCATTGCGGTAAACCCTGTATACACTATATTATTATAAATCCTTTTGTTTCGGTAGATTGCGTTGTTATCGAAATAGGTACGTTATCAAAAATTTTTATCCATAAAAAAATCGTCTTAGAACTCAGTAAAATTCATTATTCCGTTTTGCAACTCGAAATAATCTATTTTTCCGAGTTCCAAGTCAGAAAAATAAATTTGTTTGGAGTTGCAAGTCGGAAAAATAGATTATTTCGACTTGCAACTCGGAAAAAATAAATTTTTCTTACTCAAAACTTAAAAAATAGGTTTTTCCGACTGGGAACTCAAAAAAAACTTGCAACTCGGAAAATTTTTTGACTTAAAACTCAAAAAATAGATTATTTTGACTTAGAAACCAGAAAAATCAATTTTCCGAGATGCAAGTCGATATAATATATTTTTTTGAGTTCTAAGTGGAAATAATTAATTTTTTCAAGTTCTAAGTAGGAAAGAATTTATTTTTTTTGAGTGCTAAGTCGAAATAATCAATTTCTCCAAGTTCTAAGTCAAATAAATCAATTTTTCCTGAGCTGCAAATTTGGAATAATTTATTTTTTTGAGTTGTAAGTTGGAAAAATCTATTTTTTCGAGTTCTTATTAGGAAAAATGTATTTTTCCCCGTATTCTAAGTCAAGATAATCTATTTTTTGAGTTATATGTTGAAACGATTTATTTTTTAGGAGTTGCAAGTTAGAAAAATCGATTTTTCCGAATTCTAAGTCAAAATAATCTATAATTTCGAGTTCTAAGTCGAAATGATTTATTTTTTCCTAGTTTCAAGTCAAAAAAGTGGATTTTTTCGATTTTAAAATCTATTTTTTCGAGGTCTTAAGTCCGAAAAATAAATTTTGTTGAGTTGCAATTTTTTTTTTTTTAATTTTAATTAGGAAAAATTAATTTTTTTTCGAGTTTTAAGTCAAAAAATTCGAATTTTTAAAGTTTTAGGTGAGAAAAATTAACTTTTTTCGAGTTTTAGGTCGGAAAAATCTATTTTTTCAAGATCTAAGTCGAAATGATTTGTTTTTACGATTTCTTACGCAAAAAAAATTATTTTTCCGAGTTGCAAGTCTAAATAATTTTTGTTTTGAGTTTTAAGTCAGAATAATCTATTTTTAAAAGTTTTAAGGGATAAAAATCATTTTTTTTTCCAAGTTGCAAGTCGGAATAATCTATTTTTTCAGAGGTCTAAATCAGAAAACTCTATTTTTCCGAGTTATATGTCAAAAAAATCTATGTTTTCAAGTTTTAAGTTGGAAAATTACCTTTTTTTCCGAGTTTTAAGTAGGAATAATTTATTTTATCAGTTTTTCCGAGTTGCCAATCGAAATAATCTATTTTATCGAGGTCTAAGTCGAAAAAAATTTATTTTTAAAAAGTTCTAAGTCGAAAAAATTTATTTTTAAAAAGTTCTAAGTCGAAAAAATTTATTTTTAAAAAGTTCTAAGTCGAAAAATTTTATTTTTTCGAGATCTAAGTTAGAAAAATCCATTTTTCCGAGTTCTAAATCAGAAAAATTGTTTTTTTTTCCGAGTTATAAGTCGGAGAAATCGATTTTTCCGAGTTCTATTTTAGAAAAATCAATTTTTCCGAGTTGCAAGTCGGAATAAATTAATTTTTCAGAGGTCTAAGCCGAAAAATCAATTTTTCCGAGTTGCCAGTCGAAATAATCTATTTTTCCGAATTTTAAATCAGAAAAATTGATTTTTTCGAGTTATAAGTCAGAAAAATCGATTTATCTGAGTTCTATGTTAGAAAAATCAATTTTTTCGAGTTTCCAGTCGGAATAATCTATTTTTTCGAGTTTTAAACAAGAAAAATCCTTTTTGTGAGTTGAAAGTCAGAAAAATCGATTTATCCGAGTTCTATGTCAGAAAAATCAATTTTCTGAGTTGCTAGTCGGAATAATCTAGTTTTTCGAGTTCTAAATCGGAAAAATTTACTTTTTCCTAGTTCTAAGTCTGAATACTTTATTTTTCCAAGTTTTAAGTCGGAATAATCTATTTTTTCGAGCTGTAAATCAGAAAAATCATGTTTTCCGAGTTTGTAAGGCAAAAAAATTTATTTTTTTCGAGTTCTAAATAGGAATAATTCATTCTTTTCGAGTTATAAGTCGAAATAATCAATTGTTTCGTGTTCTAATAGGCCAATAAAATCAATTTTTTGAGTTGCCAGTCGGAATAATCTATTTTTTTGAGTTGTAAGTTGGAGTAATCTAGTTTTCGAGTTTTAATTAGGAAAAATTTATTTTTTCTTCAATTCTAAGTCAGAATACTTTATTTTTCCAAGTTGTATGTCGAAGTAATATTTCTCCGATTTGTATGTCGGAATAATAATAATAATAATTTTTCTAAATTGTGAGTCAGAAAAATTTATTTTTTCGAGTTATAAATCAAAAAAATCGATTTTTCCGAGTTTTAAGTCAAAATTATTTTTTTTTCGGAGTTACGAGTCAGAATAATCGATTTTTAAAAATTCTAAGTCAAAATAATCTATTATTTCAAATTCTAATTCAGAAAAAAAAACATTTTTTTGAGTTTTAAGTCAGAAATAATTATTTCCTTTAGTTTTAACTAAGAAAATTTTTTTTCTGAGTTTTGAGGCGGAATAATCTATTTTTTTGATTTGAAAGTCGGAATAATCTATTTTTTAGAGTTATAAGTCGGACAAATTGATTTTTTGGAATTCTTAGTCAAGATAGTCTATTTTTCCGAGTTCTAAATCAATTTTTCGGAATAATCTATTTTTTTGAGTTTTAAGTCAAAATAATCTATTTTTTTAAGTTCTAATTGGCAAAATTTTTTTTTCTCAAATTCTAAGTCGGAATATTCTATTTTTTCGAGTTGTGTGTCGCAATAATCTATTTTTCCAAATTGTAAGTAAAAAAAAATATTTTTCCAAGTTATAAGTCAAATAATCGATTTTTTTTAATTCTAAGTTAAAATGATCAATTTTTTCGAGTTGCAAGTACAAAAAAAATCGATTTTTCCGATTTCTAAGTCAAATTAATCTATTTTCCCAAATTGCAAGTCATAAAAATTTATTTTTTCGTGTTATAAGTCAAAAAACTCGATTTTACGGAGTTCTAAGTCGAAATGATCTAGTTTTTTCGAGTTTCAAGTCGGAAAAAATCGATTTTTTCCGAATTCTAAGCAAAAATAATCTATTTTTTCGAGTATTAAGTCAGAATAATCTATTTTTAAAAGTTTTAAGAAATAAAAATCCTATTTTTCCGAGTTTTAAGAAATAAAAATCCTATTTTTCCGAGTTCTAAGTCCGAAAAATCAATTTTTCCGAGTTGCAGTCGGAATAATCTGTTTTTTCGAGTTTTAAATAAGAAAAATCGATTTTTCCCAGTTATAAGTCAGAATAATCGATTTATCCGAGTTCTATGTCAGAAGAATCAAGTTTTTCGAGTTGCAAGTCGGAAGAATTTAATTTTTCGAGTTCCAAGTCAAAAAAGTTATTTTTCTCCGAAATCTAACTAGAAAAAATTTATTTTTTTCGAATTCTAAGCCATAATAGTATATTATGCAACGATCATGTAATGATGGTTATTAATACACGAGCATTAACCAGGATACGAAACGAGCCAAAGGCGAGTTTCGTATGGTTTATGCGAGTGTTTTAATAACCATTACATGAGAGTTGCATACGCTATTTTTTCTACACCCGATAAATAATCAAGACCTATAAATATTATATTTATATTGGTATTGAACACAATAACAGTAATTACTCGTATTTCTATAAAAAATTCGACAAAATTGTAATTAATGGTATTACTTCAGGTATTGGTATTTCCCTAGATTTTTGCGGTAAAATATTTTGTACTGTATTTTCTGCTTTCTCCGATATGTGTGGAGGAGTCTTCTATATCGCTAATATCAGACATTTTAATATTATAATTATCGAAGTTTAGCTACCTACGAAAATTTAATACGTTTTGACAACTAAAATAATTACATAGGAACCTAGGACAAACGTCAAACAGCATGCTTGATTGAAAAATTGTAGGTTTCTATTGATTAAAAATCTGTATCGTAATGAAAAATCTGTATCATAATGGGTATCATTATGAAACGGATTATGGGCATATAAGTGCATTATTATAATACGGGTGTAGAAAAAAATTTATTTTTCATAGTTTTAAGTTAATAAATCGTTTTTTCCGAGTTTTAAGTCAGAGAAATAGATTTTTTGGAGTTCTAAATCAGAAAAATCGATTTTTCTGAGTTCTATGTCGAAAAAATCAGTTTTTCCGAGTTTGTAAGTCGAACTAATCTATTTTTCTAGGTTGTATGTCAAAAAAATTGATTTTTCAAAGTTGTAAGTCAGAAAAAACGTTTTTTTTTTTCACGTTTTATGTCAGAATAGGCTATTTTTCCGAGTTGTGAACCTAAAAAACATATTATTCAGATTTGTTAGTCAGAAAAATCGTATTTTCCGAATTCTAAGTTATAATAATCTACTTTTTTTTTTAGTTCTAAGTTAGAATAACCTTTTTTCCGAGTTGTAAACCTTAATAATCTCTTTTTTCGTTTTTAGTCGGAGAAATAAAAAAAAATTAGCGGCCCTTCTACTCATCTGCGGTCATTTAAATAAAATCGTTCCTAAATACTTTAATTCTTTTTTTTTTTTTTTTGGAATGAGGGTAGCCATATGTGAGTAGTAGGGATTAAGTGTAAAGGTTAAAGAAAAAGTCCTTTATTTCTCACAAGTCAATTTATTGGCGACCGGTTTCGAAGTTGTCACTTCATCATCAGGCACACCTAAATGGAATATCAAGGAGTCAGTTGTAATAAAAACAATTATAAAAGCATGAACGGACTTTAACATATACAAAATAACAGAAAAAACACAAAAGAAAGTTAAACAATAACCTTGACTCACCTTGACTAATTCCATAAAGGAAGCGCTACAAAAAGTTTAACAGAACGAGTTAAAAAAGTCATGTGTAATAAGTATTTTTTAAAAAATGTTTTAAATGTAGGTTAGGTTAAACCACCAGATGTCTTTTTGAATAAAATAATTAATTAAAACACATTTAAGACAATTATTAACTAAACAACACAAACAGTTTAAAAAATTTTTAAGGAAATAATGTTAATTACTGAAAGTAAAAAGTAAAAAAGTAAAAATTATCAGACTGTCAAGACATCTATCTAGATTTTTAACGAATCAATGCAGTAAACTGTAAATTTTAAATTAGCGGATAAATAGTGTACTAACGGAGGTGTTATTTACTGAAAGTGAGTATAGGTGGCGATGACAAAATTTATTGAAAGTAAAATATATTAAACTGAGAATGAGAAAACAAAAAAAATTTTATACTAACAAGAAAATTAGAACACTAAACAAGAAAATATGAAAATTCATATGTAAAAAGGGAAAATTTGAAGCAGATAATCAAAAAGAAAATTACTGTTACAGGAAACGAAAAATAGGTTGACAGTACGAATGTCAAAAAAGAAAAGTCAAATTTTGGCGTATGACAACCACGTGGGAGAATTTGAATAAGCTAAAAAAATTTTTTTTTTTAATAAGATGCGAATTGGCAAAAATTAATGGAAAGAAAATCTAAATTGGGAGAGTTAATTGTGGTAAGTAACTGACTGAAGATCAAATGAGTGGGGGTAAAAGTCTGAAAATAATTTAAAAAATACTTATTACACATGACTTTTTTAACTCGTTCTGTTAAACTTTTTGTAGCGCTTCCTTTATGGAATTAGTCAAGGTGAGTCAAGGTTATTGTTTAACTTTCTTTTGTGTTTTTTCTGTTATTTTGTATATGTTAAAGTCCGTTCATGCTTTTATAATTGTTTTTATTACAACTGACTCCTTGATATTCCATTTAGGTGTGCCTGATGATGAAGTGACAACTTCGAAACCGGTCGCCAATAAATTGACTTGTGAGAAATAAAGGACTTTTTCTTTAACCTTTACACTTTAATTCTAATAACTCTGTATTAAATTTAATCTAATTGGAGTTCTTTTCAATTAGGTGTGACAGAAAGTGCGCCGAGCAGTGCCTCCGAAAACGATGGGCCCCAAGACTGACATCAACCGTAACCAGAAATGTTTGTACCTATACTAAGTGACAGAATTTTATACTAAAGACGTACTTTAATAAGTTAAACAAGAAAAAATATATATAGAAAAATTTCCATGTTGGAAATTGAAATTACCGTGGTTGTAAGTAACAAAAAAATTATGAGCTCGATATGACGGTGTTTGTTGATAATAATTTATTGTTTTTATTACCTTGAGTTTCTAGTTGTAGTCTTTTTGCTAAGCATCAAAGCATCAAAGCAGTTCGCTGTATATTAGGTGTTTTTGACTCTAAAAAAATGTATTCATATTGAAAAATTATAAATTACGTGGGGGAGTTAAATTTTAACTTTTTTGTATAAAGTTATATCTATTTTTCGATAATTATCATATTAAAATAAATTGAAAACTAAATTTACACCATCAAAAAAAAATAATTTTACAATTGATTTTTTATTGTTAGATTTTTTTATAAATTTATAAACCTATTAGTGCAGCATTTAGTGGTAAATAATTTTTAAAATTATTTTAAATATTTTGTTTTAAAAAATGTACTTCAAAATAAAGATTACCATAAAAAAATCATAGATCAGATGTATAGGTTGTTATTAAATTAGGAAAACGTGAAAATGTTTCATGTAACATTTTTAAAAAAGAATTTTAATATCAAAATTGCAATTTTTTACATTTTAAATTAGTAAAGTAAATTTACAGAAAATTTGTTAAATATTTATTGATGGCTTATCTAAATTATTTAAAAATCAAAATTTTATTTAAAGTTTCAAATTTAAATATTGTTTAAAAATTTTTATTAACAAATTATCTGAAAATTTTCAAAATCACATAAATTACCAATAATTCCAGAATATAAACGAGGAACAGCTTTTAAAAATTCATTTTAAACATTAACTATGTCTTTTTAAATTATTAATAAATTCATTTTATTACTTTTAAGGTCTTTTTTTAATTTGATTTTTTTTAAATTTAAATTTTGTTTTGATTTTACCTTTGTGTGGACAAAATAATCGATTAATCATCGTTTAATGGGTAGGTCAAAGTCGCTAATAGATTTATGTTTTTTTCTCCGATTAATCGATTGTATTCGATTAATCGATTATTTTCGAGTAATCGATTACTTTCGATTAATTGATTATTTTCGATTAATTGATTTTTTCGATTAATCAATTATTTTCGATTAATATAACAATTTTACAAAAAAATAATTCGACCAATCCTTTAATCCATTAATAATCGATTATTTTAAATAGGTTAAATTCGAATAATCGATTATTTTCGATAATTAAATAAATTTGAGTTGCAAGTAGGTGTAATCGATTATCAATCGATTAATGGATTGGTCGAATTAATTTTTTGTAAAATCGTTAGATTATTCGTTTTTTTTATTAATCGATTATTTTCAAATATTTTCGATTATTTTCGATTGTTTCTGATTATAACCGATTATTTTCAATTATTTTAGATTATTTTCGATTTTTGATTATTTTCCATTATTTCGCGATTATTTTCGACTATTTTCGATTAATTTAAATTATTTTCGATTATTTTTATTATTTTGAAATAAATTTACATTATTTTCAATCATTTTCGATTTTTTCAATTTTTTTGGGTTTTCTGTCGATTAATTTAAATTATTCACAATCATTGTTGATTTCTTTAGATTTTTTTCGTTTTTTTTTTTTATTATTTTACATTATTTTCGATTATTTTCTATTATTTTCTATTGTTTTCGATTATTTTCAAATATTTTCGATTATTTTTTATTATTTTCGATTATTTTTGATTATAATCGATTATCTTAAATTATTTTCGATTATTTTAAATTATTTTCGATTATTTTCAATTATTTTGATTATTTTCAATTTTTCTCGATTATTTTCGATTTTTGATTATTTTCGATTATTTTCGACCATTTTCGACTATTTTAAATTATTTTCGATTATTTTTTATTATTTTGGATTAATTTATATCATTTTCGATTGTTTAAATTTTTTTTGGGTTTTTTTCGATTAATTTAAATTTTTTTTTTTTTCGTTTATTTTTGTTATTTTCGAGTATTTTCGATTATTTTCGATTATTTTCGATTATTTTCGATTATTTTCGATTATTTTCGATTATTTTCGATTATTTTCGATAATTTTTGATTATTTTCGATTGTATTCGATTCTTCTCGATTTTTTCGATTATTTTCGAATATTTTCGATTAATTTAAATTATTTTCAATTATCTTTTATTATTTCGCATTATTTTAAATTATTTTCAGTTATTTTTGATTTTTTCCGGTTTTTTGACTATTTTCTATTATTTTTGATTATTTTCTATTATTTTTGATTATTTTCTATTATTTTTGATTATTTTCGATTATTTTTGATTTATAATTATTTTTGATATAATTATTTTTGACTATTTTCAAATAATTTAAATTATTTTCGATTATTTTTCTTATTTTCGATTATTTTTCTTATTTTCGATTATTATTGATTATTTTGAATTCATTTAAATTATTTTCGATTTTTTGAATTTTCGATTTTTTCGAATTTTTAGATTTTTTCCGGTTTTCTTTTCGATTTTTCAATTTTTTTTTTTTTGAATATTTTTGATTATTTTCAATTATTTTCGACTATATTCAATTAATTTAAATTATTTTCGATTATTTTTGATTATTTTCAGTTTTTTTTGGATTTTTTTCCATGATTTTGAATTCAATTAAATTATTTTCGATTTTTCCGAATTTTTGATTTTTTCGAGTTTTAGATTTTTTTCCGGTTTTCTGTTTGGTTTTTTCGATTTTTTTCGATTCTTTTCGATTTTTGAATATTTTCAATTATTTTTGATTATTTTCAATTATTTTCGACTATATTCAATGAATTTAAAATATTTTCGACTATTTTCGATTATTTTTGATAATATTCGATTATTTTTTATTATTTTCGACTATATTCAATAAATTTAAAGTATTTTTGAATATTTTTCTATTAATTTCGATTATTTTCGATAATATTCGATTATTTTTGATTAGTTTTGATTATTTTCGTTTAGTTTCAATTATTTTTTATTTTCAATTATTTTTAATTATTTTCGATTATTTTCAGTTTCAATTTTTTCGAATATTTTAAATTACTTTTTATGATTTTGAATTCATTTAAATTATTTTCGATTTTTTGAATTTTTCGATTTTTTTAGATTTTTTCCGGTTTTTTCGATTTTTTCGATTTTTTCGATTTTTTTCGATTTTTTCGATTTTTTTTATAATATTTTGAATATTTTCGATTATTTTTGATTTTTTTCGACTATATTCAACGAATTTAAAATATTTTCGATTAGTTTTGATTATTTTCGATTATTTTCGATTATTTTCGATTATTTTCGATTATTTTCGATTATTTTCGATTATTTTCGATTATTTTATTTCGATTATTTTTGATTATTTTCGATTATTTTCGATTATTTTCGATTATTTTCGATTAATTTAAAATATTTTTGATTAATTTCGATATTTTTGATTATTTTAGACTATTTTAGATTATTATCGAATAATTAATCGAATATTACCGATCAATTAATCGATTATTTCCGATTAATCAATTATTTTCTATTTTTCAAAGATAAAAGTAATCGATTTATTTCAATAAATTGATTATTTAAAAATAAAAATAAAAAGTTGATTTTTATTTTTAAATTTGATTTAATTTTGATTTTAACTTTGTACTTTCATTCTGATAACTTTGTTTAAAAAACAAAAACTTTATCCTAAAACAATTTTTAGTTTGAATCTAATAACATTTGATCTAAGAATTTTATATAATAATATTATTTATCCTCGACATTATTTACTTAAAAAAAAAATAACACAGTAAATATAAAATTATCAAATATTTAAAAGAATAATTTTCGTTTTCATTTCCGAAAAAAGTTTGACTTTTCCACGTAAATAAATGTTTATTGTTCGATGTATTTGGAGTATTTGGCATGATCCAAAAAACTAAAATAATTATAAATGTCTTTTCTATGTGTCTTTACGTCAAGTATACCTCAAATCTGTATAGAAAAAAAAAAATCACTACATGTTCTTATACATTTAAAACTGCTTTGATGATACGGAGAATTATCATATATATCGAAAACCTTTGGGACGTTCCCAGAATTAAAAAAAAAAATTATATCTATCTGTGATTTAATCAAAATTTTTGATGTATATTTTCTCTAAAAATATCTTTAAAATATTATTATATTAAAATTAAACAATTAGAGGTAGTTAATTGAATGATACAGGGTGATTCAGAAAGTAATGCACATATTTTAACTATAAATGTGGGACACTTAGGTCTATTACATCTCATTATAATTCAACAACTACTATAAGAACATTTAACTTTGGCAATATAACAAAAATAATGTTAATTATCAGAATTCAAGTCCGTCTGAATAAAATTTTCGCTTCAAAAACACCCTGTATAACAAAATTTAGCATATCTGATTAAATATCTCAAAAGAGCGTAAAAATCAATTTATAGAGGCACTAATTTATTAATAAAATGATTTTTGGATGAATTTTAAATAAATACTTTTTAAGTATCTCTATTTTTCACTATTTCTATCTTTTATTTAATGTTAGAAATAAATTTTAGTACCGTATATAGATAAACGAATATTTTTTTAAATTTATTTTTAAATACTCTGTATATTGAAAAATAAGGGAGTTAATAGATTGAAAAGGTAATTTCGAATTTAACAGGTTTTGAGTTTGATATATTCTTTTAGGTAACGGGAAAATTTAATTATAGACGAAATAATTATAAAAAAATTATTGATTAATTTTATTTCACAAATAAACTGTTCAAACGCGTCGTTTACTACAATATTTGAATGCACTTTGTTGTCAACGACGTGCTCGAAGAGCACGTCGCACCAAAGTATTGCAAAAAGCTCACAGAGCACGTCGCAATTTATAATACAGTGTGCTCCAAAAAAATTACACTCAAAAAGAACTG